TCTGGGAGAGGAGTCACAGGTTTGGGGTGCAAGGCATAGGCCCTGAGAGTTTGGGTACAGAGGGGCTTAGGACTGGGGCAGGGTGTCGGAGTGCAGTAGGAGTTTGGGGTATGGGTTGTAGCCGGGTGCCTCTTACCTCAGACATTTCCTGGATGGCAGTGCAGTGGATTAAGGCCCCAGTTCACTCCATTAAGTGGTGGCATGTCTGGGGCTATGTCTATACTGGCGCGATCTTGCACCAGAACTATGCAAATGAGGCTAAACATGGAATATTGCCGAGCCTCCTTTGCATAGCTAATGAGCCACCATTTTTGCAGAAGAGGCTCTTGCGCAAAAAGGAGCTGTCTACACTGCATGCTTCCCCACCCCCAGACCAATCAGGGTCTGTGGTTGGGGAAGCACAGAATTGTCCTGGCCCCGCCTCTTCTGCCTGAGGCCCCGCCCTTTCTGGGGCAGACCAGTTAAAAATTATTGCCCACCCCTTCGTTAGCTCCACTGACCTGCCAGACATTAGTGGCCCATCTCCCAGTTTGGCTGCAGGAGCTTCCTTGAAATCAAGCCTAATTTTAGGAGATTTCCAGCTAAATTGCAATCTACCAGTTGGTGACCACTGTTCTAGCTCATCCTTGTCTCTCTTAGATATGTGTATGCTAACTTGCTCTAGCTCAGCATACAGGATGTGACCTATAATGTTCTTGCATTGCAGCTAAAATAATCAAATACAGACAAAATACTTTAATACAACTTGATAAACCTATTCTAATAACAATTAACAAACCTATAATGAGTGGTCAAACTTGTAAGAAATGTTATATAGAGGCAAGCAAGCAGGTTAGCCTGATAGGCTACATCACAGGCTTCTGTGAATTTTTGTTTATGGCCTGTGACCTGTCCCTTTTACTAAAAATAATCATGCAAAATATTAATCTTAATTATGATATAATCTTTAATTACATTATTACATATTGCTTTTTTTCCATGGAGGTAACGGGAGGGGGGGAGGAAGGGCTGTATGCCTATGTCCAGGGCTTGCCGAACCGCGGCAAGCCCCGCTCACCAGCTGCGCCGGTGATCTGCGCATGTGCAAATCGTTCTGCGCATGCGCAGATCGCCCGAACCCGGCTCTTCCCGTGGCGAGTAGATTGTATTATTTGTCGAGCCCTGCCTATGTCTACACTTGCAGCTTCTTGCACAAGAAATATGCAAATGAGGCTAAGCATGGAAGATTGCCGAGCCTCATTTGCATACCTAATGAGCCACCATTTTTGCAGAAGCTTTTGCGCCAGAAGGACCTGTCTACACTGCCCCTTCTTGCGCAAGAAAAACCCTCTTGCGCAATGCCATTATTCCTGAAAATAATCAGTGTAGCAGCATTGCGCAGAGATTGTGGCCTATCATGGTGGCAGATAGACAGCTCTCCCATTTGCCTGGTTGTCTTCTCCTGTTATCGTGACATACACTTTGCAAGCTCTTTAGGGGCAAGGACTGTCTTTTGTTCTGTGTTTTTATGGAGCCTAACACAATGAGGTCCTTGTCTGTGACTGTGGCTTATAAGTGCATACTTTAAAAAAATAGGGTGAGAGAGTGGTTCTGAGGGATGTAGGGATCTGACAGTTCCCCAGTGCAGAGGGTCTCAGCAGGGGGTTGTCAGCAGGGGCAGAAGTGACATATCTATCACTTTGGGGACTGACCACACTGGCCAATTGTGCTAGCCCACGGGGCCCATCAAAGCGTGGGGCCTAGAGTGGTCACCGTGATTCACCATACCCTAGGGATAGCCCTGGAGGTCAAGTGATGCAGTGCTGGGGTGTCAGGTTTCTGTGATTCAGTGGATGGCTGTGGGTTACAGGGGTCTTTGGAGGTTGCTATGGTTCAGGGGGTGGCTGTGCAATGTGAGATCTCAGAGGTTCAGGGGTGGCTCTGTGGATCCAGGAGTCTTGCTGGTCTAAGGATGGATGTGGGAGTGAGTGTGTGAGAGAGAGATCCAGGGGTGGCAGGTCAGGGTGAGGGGTTCAGGGGTAGTAATGGAGGCAGCAGTCTGTGGGGACTCAGCAGTTTGGGGGTGGCTGTGTGGGTGGGGGGGGCTGCGAGGCAGGGCCAGGGGGGTCTCTGATGTCTCGGTGGTTGGGGGTGGCTGGGTCTGTCTC